TGCATTGACCATAGGTGGAAAATATGGGTTATTAGCTGCATCAAAGGGAATCCCTTTATCGTAGAACCATTTACCAACATATCTCCCCAACATGTTTCTTGTACCTTTAATCATGCCTTTTAGGGTCATCTGTCGTGACTTAGGCTTTGAGAGAAACGGGTCTATACAACCATGACCCGCAATACTGGCACTCTTAGGTAACCTAGAAACAATTTCTTCAACGTCTGATTCTTCTTGATACATATTACCACCAATCCCTCCATACATATTTGAGCTAGGCCGGCCATACATGCTCGAGCTGGGTCCGCCATGCATGTCTGAGCTAGGCCCACTATGCATGCCCATGTCATAACCACCAGGCATTCTAAACCCGCAATCCCTCTGGTATGTTTCATGTAAACTCATTTGTGTGGCCATCTCTAAGTCATTATTATATTGCTCTTCTAGATCATTCCCGCTGATGGCGTATATAAACTAGCTATCTCCTCACCCATCATCTGCCTTACAACTTTTTTTCCTTTGATAGTCTTGAGAAATGCCACCATCTGCTTTCTTACATTATTAGGGACACTATTGCCCGCAGAAACAGCTCCCTTAACCCCTGCCAAGTGTTGCTTGAACCTATGTACCTCACTACTTATCACTCTTTGGCAGTAATTATAAATAATTTTGTCTTTTTTGTTGGGATCAAGTCTGACCCCATGTTGCCATGCAAGGTCTTCTGCAGATCTTGCCATGGTTCAACTTTAAAATGTAAAAGGTTAAAAATTAACCTGACAGTTGAACATGAAAAATAATCGCCATATGTAGTGATAATATGTAGGGGTAGTTCATGAAGTTATATTTGTTAGTTCATGCAAAATACTTCTATTGACAAAAATATTTTAATTCCTACTGAGAAAAATAATTTATTTATGCAACATTATAGATAAAAATAACCTATATCAGGCACTACATAAAGAACAATAAATTTACATTGATAAAGTATCAATAAAAAATATATTTACAATGGTATAGTAATTCACAATGCCAATACATATGGACTTGTCACAAATCTTCATTTCGACAAATATGAATTAGTTCCTACTGAAAAAAACAATATTTATGCAACATTATAGATAAAAAAAAAGTCTGTATAAGTCACACCTGCCAAATATTCATACATCTCAATTACAAATATGCAAGATAATATAATAAAAAAGGCAACCTCCAAACATGCCTACAACTCAATTATCAAGAACATACATCTTTTACATTAAAAATTTAATAATAAAATTGATAATTGCAAGCTAACATAATTATCATACATGATATTTTACAATGATATTCACTTTAATTCCTCATGATAATACAAATTAACATGTATTTTTGGCATTAAAAATTAAAAAAATTAAAAAAAAAAATTTAATGCAAAACTGCATTAAAAATATAATACAGTTTAACAACATGTATTTGTTAATGCATTTTTTTGCATTAACAAAAAATTAAAAAATACAGTTTTGTGTTAAAAATATAATAACATGCCACGATTTTTTTACAATGATATTCACTTTAATTCCTCATGATAATACAGTTTAACAACATGTATTTTTTGTATTAAAAATTTTAAAACTTAAAATAATTTTTTAATACAATACTGCATTAAAAATGCAATACAATTTAACAGCATGTATTTGTTAATGTATTTTTTTGCATTAACAACAAATTAAAAAATACAGTTTTGCATTAAAAATATAATAACATGTTTTTTTTGCATAAATAATCTATCAACATGCAATTTTTGGAACTAGAAATTTAACAATAAAGATTAAAAATATTGTTTAATTCCTCATGATAATCAAAAATAATTTTTCAAAAAATCACAATTTCTCAAAAAAATTGATCATGAATTAAAAAAAAAAAATCCAGTTCTTCACAGACCAACCCAACATCAGTCATTCCAACTCAAAAATCCACCTCAAATCGAATAAATTACATCAAATTTAATACATGTTTTGATAAACAACACTATAAGGAATCAAACCCCTATAATATTAACACGTTATTATCAAAATATTAAATAAAATCGATTGAGTTGAGGGAAAAAAAAAAAAACGTAGTTCTTCACAGACATCAGTCTTTCAATCTCAAAAATCAATCTCAAATTGAATAAATCAGATAAAATTGAATACATGAGATGATAAACAACACTATAACGAATCAAAACCCTATAAATTTAACACATTCTTTGCAAAATATTTAGTGAAATTGTGAAAATGGTCGAAAAACAAAAAAAAAACAGTCCACTTTTTTTTAACAGATATCACTCTTTTTTTCTATAAAATCCAATTCAAATTGAATAAATATATTCAAATTAAATATATCTAATGATAAACAATACTACAACGAATCAAAACCCTATAAATTTAATACATGATTTGTAAAATATTGACAGGATTTGATCGCATGGCAGAAAAAAAAAAAAAACTGAGTTTTTACCTGTTCTTCGTGCATCTGTGCCTTCAAACCCAAAATTGATATGTATTCCTCCAAGATAATCACAAATTATGAACAGAAAATTCTGACCAACACTCTTACAATCACTCAGCCTGAAATTTTACAAAAAGTGAAGCTTTATTTTAATTGAAATCGTGAAAATGGCGGAGAAAAAAAAAAAAACAGTCCACTTTTTTTTTAACAGACATCACTCTTATTTTCTATAAAATCCAACTCAAATTGAATAAATATAATCAAATTGAATATATCTAATGATAAACAACACTACAAATAATCAAAACCCTATAAATTTAATACATGATTTGTAAAATATTGACTGGATTTGATCAAATGGCGGAAAAAAAAAAAAAAACAGTCACTTTTTTTTTAACAGACATCACTCTTATTTTCTATAAAATCCAACTCAAATTGAATAAATATAATCAAATTGAATATATCTAATGATAAACAACACTACAAAGAATCAAAACCCTATAAATTTAATACATGATTTGTAAAATATTGACTCGATTTGATCGCATGGCGGAAAAAAAAAAAAACAGAGTTTTTACCTGTTCTTCGTGTATCTGTGCCTTCAAACTCAAAATTGATATGTATTCCTCCAAGATAATCACAAATTATGAACACAAAATTCTGACCAACACTCTTACAATCACTCAGCCTGAAATTTTACAAAAAATGAAGCTTTATTTCAATTGAAACCACTGAAATGGCGGAAACCCTAAAACTCACTCTTCGATCCAAATTTGTTGATAAAAAACGGTGGTTTTAATTCGTTTTATTTAGTGAAAATGATTCGAAATTTGAATTAAAGTCTGTAAGCGTCGTTCATAAGGCTGAAAACGTTGAAAATCGATCACAAAATGACAAAAAAAATCGAAATATCGTGAAGAATACTGTGCAACCCGTATTCTTCCTCGTGACTCGGACGGAATCGCGAGTCTACTATTGGGAATAGCCCGGTTCTCTCTAGACACGGGCGATTCTCGTTTTATGTGCAGAACCGGTACGTCTTCGAACAATTATCGAGCCGGGCTAGTCCAGTTCAACTTGGCGTTTTTTAAAACCCTGGTCCTAACCATATTGCATGCCCATATAAAAAAAAGGGGAAGAAGAATTACCACCAGCTTTTAAGATCAGCACGATAATCGAGAGAATTTAAAGCCTTCTCTACAACACTATTTAGTGTAGGAAATGCCAACATAATTAGCAAAAGAAAGGGAGGGTAAATCAGCTTGTTTGATTTTTTGGGACAACTTGAAGGATTGAACCTTTGACCTCCCTCATCTTCCCAATTGAATCCCCATTTTCATCTCATAAATCCCATTGTCATCTCAAGTTGGGCAAGGGCTTGATGTGGATTTTTTACTACCCTAGGTAATTAAGACTATATTGGGCCAGGCTTTGCCTAGGCCGGGCCATTATGAAGTTTTTTTCTGTCTCTTTTTTTATATCAATCTTCAAACCTTTTTTTGGTTGTAAACAAGAAAATATATATATGCTAATATATTTTTTAGAGAGAAAAAGAGAGATTGGGTTTCTAGAGAGAGGGTTTTAGAGAGACAGATAAGGTTTTCAAAGAGAGAGAGATTGCGGTTTTAGAGAGAGAATAAGATATTGGGTTTCTAGAGAGATAGAGCACGAGTTTTTGGAGAGAGAATGTATTCTTAGAAAGAGAATGTGTTTTTAGAGATAGTAATGGAGAGCAGGTTTTTAGAGAGAGATTGAGTTTTTAAAGAGAATGAATTTTTAGAGAGAGAAAGAGAGATTGGATTCTAGAGAGAGAAAGGGAGATTGGGTTTCTAGAGAGAGAATAGGTTTTTAGAAATACAAAGAGAGATTGAGTTTTTAAAGAGAGAATAGATTTGTAGAGAGCAAAAGATATTGACTTTCTATAAGAGAATGGGTTTTTAGAAAGAGAGAGATTGGATTTCTAGAGTGAGAATAGGTTTTTAGACATAAAAAAAAATTGGGTTTTTTGAAAGAAAAAGATATTGTGCTTTTAGAGAGAGCATTAGTTTTTAGAGAGAGAGAGAGAGAGAGAGAGAGAGATTGGGTTTTTAAATAAAGAGAAAATGTTTTTTGAGAGAAAAAGGCAGATTGGGTTTAGAGAGAGAATAGATTTTAAATTTTCTAAAAAATATTTTAGCATCTATTTATTTTCTATATTTATTACTTACTAAAAATGAAAAAAGTGTGAAGATTTAAATAAAAAAAAAAAAAAGATCTTAAATATAGGCTGGGCTGGGATTTTATTTAGGCTGGGTCTTAATACGTTTTGAGCTTGCCGGGCTTGGCCTCGCAAACCCAAAGCCCGGAACAGGCCTGAAATCAGTCCTGGCCCATGCCGGACCGTTAACAGACCTAACTGTAACCAGTACTCTATTGTCTCTCTGTCACTAGTATTCTTCTTCACCCTTAGTTTGGAAAACAATAATAGTGAGCATTGGAAGAGAAAACATGGACATGCAAAAGAGTGGAGACAGTATTATTAACAAAAATTCTTTTATGCTTGCCTTGAGCAAATGGCAACAAGATTTCTTCCTTGAGCAAATGGCAACAAGATTTCTTACAAATTCAGCAACCCAATGGCAACCCTTCAGCCTCAAAACTCTCCCAATACTCAACAATCTTAAACATTCATATGAACCAGTTTCCCTCAAACCTCTCCCAATACTCAACAATCTTAAAACATTCATATGACCCAGTTTCCATGTATATGTAGTACACAATAACCAAGTTCAAAATAATTTCATGGAAAAGGAAAAAATTTGTTCATATATCATAGAAATACTTCTTGAAAAGCACCATATGATCAGCCTGCAATGAAATTGCCAAAGATAGACTCCCATCACCACTAGGGCTGGGCAACACAAAGGCCAACCCCTCATAAGCAATTCCCCCAGGCCCCATGAACACAGGCCTCCCCCACCCAAAATCAGCATCATGTATTGGCAACCTTGCCCAACTAGTGATCCCAATGTTGGGGCACCTAAATGTGTGGGCTCCTCTTACCAGGGCCCCCAAATCAGGCTGGATTTCGAGATAATCCAATGCCGATCGGAGATAATCATCATCCATCCTCGCCAATGCCTGACGTATGCAGCCGGCAGCTACGTAAGCCGGCCTTGACATCAAGTCGCCGGCGACGGCGATCGGTGTTGCAGTGAAAATCACATTCCCAAAGTATCCTGCAGGCAGAAGCGGCCTCAATCTGGAGCGACCATCGGTGGCAATGTACATCTTTGTAAGCTGATCATCAGGGAGGTTTCGCGCCTTGCATGAGCACCGCCACACGTGGCCTGCTAACATCTCATATGAGCTGTATGTGGAAGGGCTGCCGGAGTCCCTGGCACGAGACTTCAATGTATCAAGCTGTGCACGGGTGAGGGTGAAGATGGCGACAGATGGGGAAGAAGGGGGTTCGGAGGGGGGTCTTTTCATTGGAGGTGGGGGTTGGTATTCAATGTGGGAGAAAAGGGGAGTTGGGGGGTCGCGGGCACGGAGGAGGGTGCGATCGATGAAAGGGTGAGGTTCGGAGAGGGGTAGGCCACGGGTGAGGTCTGACCACGCATTGATAAAATGGAGGCCAGAGGCTCCATCAGCCACGTGATGCTGCATGCCCACACCGAGGGAGACTCCGCCACACTTGAAGAAGGTCACCTGTGGAAGGGGACGAGCATTCGCAGGGTTAGCGAACTTGCAGCAGGTATAAGTCGGAGAGAGAGGAGAGAAACTGGCTTTTTGAGTTCAAGATTGAGATTTCGGTAGCTTGAAATAGCATCAACCATAGAGGACACCTTTGGCGAGTTATGTGTGACTCGCTATAGAAAGTGATGAAGAGAGCTCCAGTCTCTTCATGACACACAAACATGCACATACAGCGGTAATGTCTCTCTTTTTTTTCTTTTTTTTTGTGTGCATGTCAATTACACATTTTTTATTAAATAAAAATGGAGAAAATACAAATCATATTTTAACAACATAGGACAATTGTGCCAAATCAATAAATAAAGACAAAAATAAAATCAGGAGATCTAAAATGCTAAACTGTAGCGTTAGAAAGAGACATTTCCTTCTTGGCAAGTGTACTTGCTACCATGTTAGATTTGTGATAAATGTGATCCATCTACGATCGGAAAGTCTATAAGTCTGTGTTGACAATTGGCTGCTAATGTGCGGAAAGTGGCAATGTGTCCTAATATGAGGATGGGTGTATTTGTATGGGTGTGTGCGTGCGGGCGTGCATTTGTGTTTATGTATATGAGAGAGAGAGGCTTGCCATTTTATGGTGTGTCTCGACTCTGGACAGCCTACTAATCATGAGTAAAAGCATTTTTTAAGTACACTGACGCAGCACATTTATGCTCCATTTTTTGGTGGAATCAAATAAAAAAATTTAACCAAATATCACTAAAGTCGCAAAAACAAGATTTCCCTTCATTCTTGATATGAAAAAATGTTTTACATGGTGGATCTAGGAAGTAGATTACACCTATCGATCCCGATCTGGGTTTTGCCAGCTATCCGGCAAAGAGACAAAAAGCAAAATACACAAAAAAGTTTTATGTTTAATATCATTTACGTTTTTAAATAGCGATTGGCCGGACAAGAGAGTCTTCTTGTTTCCCGAGTGGTGGAGGTTCGAATCCTCCTACAACAATTACCTTTTGTTT